GACACAATGCATCTTTGTTAGCTGTGCTAGTCAGTGGTACTCTGAGTTACCATAGCACCAAAAAAAAGAAACATAAAAACAGAAAGTATGGTGCCTTTATTGACATTAAAATTAACATTCATAAGGAAACTATATATTTTATACTTCTACCTTTTAAATGAGCAGCTCAATATAGAAACAAGTTTACAAAAAACATGTTTTATTTATTAAATGAGAAAATTTTTTGTTCTCTCATCTAAACATATCTGCAGATTTGAGGCGACAAAGTTTCATCTTTTCCAATTTCAAGTTTTCTTTTTTTTTTTTTTTTTTTAAGCCACAGGTTCTCAATAGGATTCTAACACATGCACATTTTTAGATCTAAATCATTTAATTATTATTTTTGGACTTTATTGATCTCACATTGGAGAAATTCACTCTCTGCATTTAACCCATCCCCTTGGGGAGCAGTGGGCTGCCACGGTGGGGCGCCCGGGGAGCAGTGTGGGATAAAGGGAGTGGGGTTCAAACTAGAAGCTCTAAGCTCTAACCACTGGGCCGCCACTCCCCATTTATCATGGAACTGGCCATGCTTTACCCTCCTGGAAGGTCAATCTCTCTCCAAAAAGTTTTTTGAAGCACCTAACAGCATTTCTGCATTAAGCTTACTCGCTCCCCACAGCACTAAGGTGCCACCACCCTGTTCCACAACTAGTAAAGCGTATGCAAAGTGAGAAAAAGTGGTTAGTTTTTTATTGTTTTCACTTAATGATCTGATGTTTCATGATAAAGCACAAACCTTCAGCAGGAGAATTCCAGACTCTTTAAGTCCAGACTGAGTTGGGTTTCCCTCCTCGATCGTTGTAAATCTCTCGCTCCGTTAGTATATCTGTCTTTACCGCTAGCTGCCTGCAGTTTTCCCACAGTTGCTCTGCAGACTGGGGTTGAAGCTAATCACTGTTGTGGAATGTCACCACATTATAGTGGCATTTGAGGGTGTGCGGGAGCTGTGGGTTACTATCTATGTGCATTTCAAGACAAACGAGAAGAAAAGATGACTGATGACTGACTGAATAAAAAAGGGGGGGGGGGGGGGGTATGCTTGAACAAGTCTAGACATCTCCCTTTCTCCATCCAGTGATCAGAGACTGCTTTGGTCATATTAGTCTATTATCTTTTTATAGTTTTTACTACCTTTGTTTTTAGTAACTTAATTGTGATATTAGGCGTTTTGGAAACAGCTTATTTTTTAAATAAGGAACAGAGGATGACGTTTCAACTGCAGAAGTTTTCAGTCACAAAATGCTGAGACTTCTAATCAGCACAGCATGCCACTAATGCTGCATTTAAGAGTCTGTTCGCATAGTGAGCTGAGGGATCAAATCAAAAGAAAAGGTGTTGCAGAGGTTTACTCTTAATTTCTTTATGGCATATTTCAGCTAAACATAGTTTTCATCTCAATATGAAATCTCCGATAAAAATGGAATCTCTGACAGGACATAATGTCCTGTCTAGTTGATTTGGACCCTTTTAAAAAAAAAAAAAAAAAAGACAGCATTTTTCTGCTAAATCAAAGTAGTTAGGAGACAAAATACATCATTATTATGAATAAATATCTGTAATATGAAATTTTTTGCTCACCTTTCAATAACCGCATTTGTGTTTATGCTTTCATCTTTAAAAAGAGAGAAAACATTTTTGTTGAGTGTGGTTTGGTTTATCCTGAGCTATATTCTATTGTTATGCTGCAATACCCTTAGGCTGCTGGAAGGCATAGGGATCACGTTTCGTCACTCTGGTTCATTCTACATTTATACTCAAATGTTATTGTATCCTTTTTTTTAAATTCTTTGTCTTTAATTGTTTTGTTCTCGTTGCTTTTTCATAGCAGCTAGATTTGGCCCAGTGCTCTGCTCAGCAGTGACACCATGTAGAGGTGGTCAGCAGCACCAAAGTCCTGGGGGTGCACATCACAGACACCCTCGCCTGGAATGTAAACACCACCTCACCTCAAAAGGGCACAAAAGTGCATGTACTGCAAGTCACGAGCCCGTAACATTATAAATTACCCCTCACACCCCCAGCTTGGACTGTTCTCCCTGCTGCCCTCTGGGAAGAGGCTTCGAAGCATTGGATGCAGGTCCAGCAGTTTCTTCCCCACTGCAATTGGACTGATGAATGTTGTATAAAACGGGGTTAAAAAAAAATAAATAAATAAATAAAACTGAATGTTGGAAACTGTAACTCATATACAGTTGCATGTTTACATTTATCACTGTTTCCTACCATCACTGCTGCACTTTAAAAAACGAAAATGTCTTAAGAGCTGTACAGAGCAAAATTTCTTTTATACAGTTTGTATGTACAAAATGACAATAAAGTCTGTCTAAGTCTAAGTCATCCTGGAAGAAGCCAATATCTAGGCTGCTGCTATCTATAACTTCTATTATAGACTAGAGTTAGGCCTATTTTTTAGTGTTTAGTCTTGTTTTTCTCCTAGGCATGGTAATGGACTCAGTGT